TCAGTAATCGGTCGATGACCCTTTCTCACAACATTTAGCCCACGATGATGCTAGATTCGAAGCCCATGTAATTAGGTTACCTGAAGAAATTAGGATTCGACTTCTATAAAATARAGAGTGAAGCTCAACCTTGGAGGTGCTAAAAAAAACCCTACTCTAAAACTTCACCATTCTTCAACCTCCGATTCGAACTTAAGTATCGGAGTATATGTGGCTAGTCCCATATAGATGTTTAGTTTATTTTGCAGGTCAACGACGAGTCTTTAGTGCGATGGTCAACAAATCCAACCAATTTATGCATCAACATTTGACGCCGTTTGTGAGAAACAACTAAAGTCCAAAGCCAAACGGTTATCGATTGACATGAATACTGCACAATCAACAYGAAGAAGAGGAAGGTTAGAATGACGACTACCATCTGAGGAGGAGGGTGAGCTGAGAACTGGTCTTACCCGTGAAAGTTCAAAAGAAAAGGGTTGCTGCTGCTTGGTTCTTTCGATTTAGATGAATTCCAATTGTCAAAAAGGACGCGGTAATCTACGCCCTAGCCAACTGCACCACTACCGCAATTGACAAAATATAATTAATTTATTCTATGATTTAGCAAAAATTATTAATAAGGGTTTTTAATATAACACTTATTTAAAAAAATAAATAATTATAATAATAATAATGTTTTCGTATTAATAATAATAAAACACTTTTGTGTATTTAGTTGACATGTCGTTATTTCCATTTCTATTTTTATATATTTTCGACCTAAAGGGTTGAATCGATATTTCTATTACATTATACGAAATATAAGAACTTTAAACTTATTATGCTTACTTGTTAATTTAAATCAATTTTATGAATTTCTTGTTTTCTTGTAATTTTTCTTTTAAATATCCATTAACRTAYTGACAATMTGTGAAAATTTCAATAAAATTGATATCTTAACATTTTCTTTTGACTTTTGATATTTAAAATATTGCGTTGCATAAAAAAGTGATTAAATGAAATCAATATTAAATCAACGTGGAGTGATACAAAATTCAAAAGTGGTTCCTTTTTATCTTTTTAGAATCTACTCCTTTTATTTATTTAAATAAAACTATGCTTGTTAAAAAGTTTTTTTTAGTCTACTTTTGATCAATCGATTTAATTCTTTGCTTGTCCTTTTCAGTGAAACTGATTTTCAACCCCAACATTTGAAGAAATTATTGTCAGTATTTTGAGCGCAATGACTTCAATTTTCAATTAATAATTCAAGATAGCACAAAGTTGAAGAACCTTTTGCCTTTTTATCATGGATAGCACAATGATCAAATTTTGTCTAAAATATCTCTTTTAGACCATTCTAAAGTTGAAAAACCTAATATACACAAAATTAAAAATTTAGAGATTTATTTTATACTTTTTAAAGTTTATGTTAATTTTAAAGTTTAAGGACAAATTTTCAATTTACCTAACTCTCTCTCTATATATATACATACATACATACATGCACACAGACATGGTCGATGTGTTAAAACTTATTTTTATACAAATTTATGCCCCCGTCTAAAGACTTGGATCCGTTCATGATGACGGTTTTGAGATGCATATGAATCAGAAAAGAGCGGGATGCWATGTTTTAAAAGGAGGATGGCAATTGACTGAACGCGATGTAATCAAACTATGGTTGACGCCGTAGAGAATATAAAGTCCATATTCGCGGGCAGGAAGCACACCAGCTGCGTGTCTTGCGTGATTCTACTGTGTTTTTTGCCCTTGACTGGGTGGACAGTTGACCGGAAGATAACTTCRATTCACCCGTACAAGGATATTGAGTAGACGGTTGATGTATCAGACTTGACCCTATCTTTCGGAGCATGCATTCCCATCCGTGTCACAACTGATTCGGTAAGCTACGTGTCCGGTGCATGGAGAACTGCCTTTGGTCTCCCAAACGGACCAAATTTGAATTCACGATCTCTTTGTCAGAGAYAAATATTAATTACCGTTGAGCTAAGCTATTGTTAGCAAGATTTGTTGTAGTAATTTCTCATACTTACAAAAATATTGCAACTAAACTCAAACATTTAGTGAAATTAGAAGTTGTAATGGTAGATTTAGTTGTTATTATAATTTCATTACTTTAGACAGATATATGCTAAAATTTAAAGTTGTCGTGGCGCAATTATAACCACTTTTATAGTCCATGGGTTGCTATTTCATGACCGAAAAAGTAGTATTTCATGACGTTTTAAAAAAATATGGGAAAAAGTTGTTAGTGCAATTTTTAAATAATTATTCTCGATTTTCAAAAAAGGTCGGGAAAAAAGATATTTCCCGAAATTTTTTAAAAACGTCGGGGTTCCGTCAGGTATAATTTGCTTTCCCTCCTTGGCCATTCTATCTGTTAATTTTAATTTTAAATTAAATTTTAATTTGAAAACAAGATTACTTTTGGATATTTTTTAGTAACAAAAACTTTATAAGATTTTGTCAAATACAAATCCCCAATCTTTTCACATTTAACATGTTAGGGTCACAGGCGGATGCACGTTGCCCTGCGACTTGGGACTTGCTGAGCTTTTAAAAAATAATCAATCAATATATAAAATTGTGTATTTTTTTCACTATGTATTGTTGGCTCAGTAGCAATCTCGACGCCAGCCCCAGCTCCCCCTGCAATTCTCGTATTCCAACCCATTTTTATTTTCTCAAAGAATTATGCATCATTTCTGGTAATTTATTATTTTACTCAATTTTATTTTTTACAATTTTTTTATACAAATATGTCCGTTTTTAAAAGAAAAAAAAAGATATATTCAAATTCTAATTTTAAATGATGTAATTGTTCCCTATTATTTTGATCCTACAGGAATTTTTTTGATTTATATATTATTTGTCATCTCTTTATTTTAATTATTATTGGTCGTATTTTATATAATTTTTCATTTCATGTTTTGTTTTTCTTTTTTTTTTTAATAAAGAATTAGACCATTTGAAAATTAATTGTCTTATATCATATATTTAATATGAATTTGATTATTTGAGATTACTTTAAATATGCTAGTAAAAATTTGGACTATAATATAAAATTGTTATGTTTCAACCATTTTTATACCCATAATTATTGTCATTCTTATTTTATTTTTATTAACGTTTTTTAGATTTAATTTGAAATCCTAATTAAATGGAGAGATACTATAAAATAAAATTGACAAGGTCATCATCTCCATCGAAGAAAAGTAATAATAGTACCGATAGGTTTTTTGCATAAGTAAATTTAGAATATAATCTTAGTCTAAGAACTAGAATTGTTGATTCTTTTTTTATATAATCAATGTCGTGTGGCTTACGGTAGTAGATCYCTATAATCGACCTGGCTCATTATGTGAGTTTAGCTACAATGTGACAAGTGCAAGACATGAAAATTAATACGAAGCCCTCCCTCAATAAAATTTATGTATTTGCCGCTGGTTACGGTTGATGATGGAAGAAAATACAAGTATGATTATCTAATATATGTACATTATATACAATTTTACTTCTATGTGCAATGTGTATAAGTATATATATTATAGCTATGTTTAAATATTATTTTGGCTTATTTATTTTTGCCTTTAATTCATTTTGGTCTTTATACGTTCAAAACATCTATTTTGGCCCACAAACTTTTAATTTTTGTTCATTTTATTAGGGATATAAGGAACTSAACTTACTCGAAAAACCAAACCATCCCCGAAGTGGTTTGTTCGAGTTTGCTAATATATAGTCGGTTCAGGTTCGTTCAGTCCAATAAAACATAGGGTTTATTCTTTTGTTTTAGTTGCATGTTCGTTCCTTTTCTTATCCCTCTCAGGAACAATGACTCCAGAGGCAGATGTCAGAAACGACCTAAGCGACAAATGGCAGTGGTGATCCAAGAGGCAGACGATGTTGGTGAGCCAAGCAGCAGACGAGCAGCTACCCAAGCGACAGATGGCGGTGGCGACCCAAGCAGCGAATGACGACAACGACCTAGACGACAGACGACTGTGATGACCCAAGCTGCAGACAGTCGTGACGACCCAAACGGCAAACAGCGGCAACCCAAGGGGCAAATCCAAAGTCTCTAATTTTCGACTATTTTTTTAGAACGGAAAAAAAAAAGGAACGGAAAAACAACATAAAAAAAGGGAAACGAAATTGATTCTCTCTTTGATTTTGCTCTGCTCCTCCTCTCCGTGTGGTGGAAGCTGACAATTCGTAATGAAACTCTATTCTTTAATTGTCCGACTATAAATTATGTAAGAATATTATGATTTGTTTTTCAATATAGATAGTATAAAATCTATAGAGCAATTACTTAACATTACATTTTTGTGCAATAACCTTTGTATCCGTCTACAGGATGATCTAGTCGCAGGTTTTCACTTCTCAATGAGTGAAAGATTTGTCCCCAAGTGTACGTTTAAARCTTCTATAGTCAAACTCATTCAAGAGGGTTTGATGGTCTTAAGAATGATTCAAGTAGGGGTTCTCTTAAGAAYAAAGAAGACAACAAGTGTACCGGAAGCTATTATAGTAATAGGATAGCCTTTGGTAGGGTTAATATGCRGAARTGGTAGTGCGGGACAATCTACCTTGACTCATTTTTATAATCATTTTTGGATATCATCATGTCCCACGAGTGAGTTGGCAAGTGCCCCTAGTCTAGAWGTCTACCACAAGATCGAGTGAAAGCCTAGAGCAAAACTAGCCTTTATATGGAAATTTAAGTATTAATGAGGTTTGTTTTCTTCAAGAAAAAATAAAAGATAAAAAATTGTATTCCAAATATGTTTATTAAGTATATAAATTGTACGTGGAGATCATTATTTAATAGTTTATCAATTAGAATGCAAATATCTCATTTCTAAAAATAAAATAAAAAAAAAATATCTCGGAGCGGTTACAAATTTTGATTCAATTAGGGCATTTTTTTTGTTTTGTGTTTAAAAACAGAACCTAGAATCTAGGAGTTTGAACCTTGAAGAACAGTTGGTTCAACCGAACAAAAACCGCTTTGCGTCTTCTCCCCAAAGTTGCCCTATGAATTCTCTCCTGTCTATCTAGGTTGCGGCTGAAGCGACGCAGACCCACGGGCCGCACCGACACCGATCAGTCGCGAACGAAACAAGAAGGAAACACAGTCTCCGAAATCATTAGGGAAAGGTAAGGGAGTGAGTAGATCGGACGACACATTTTACCTTCGTTACTGATTTCGGAGACCCTGTTTCCTCCCTGTTCCCTCCGGCGAATGACGATCCTGTTCTTTCAACTGCGGAGGACTCATTTTAACTCAAAACCACACGATCATTTTAGGTATAGATGATTTAGTTTCTTTCTGAGTAATATTTTTATCAGAGTGTCATTATATTATTCTCTTGATTTTACCTCCGTTGGTTTGGTAATGGTAATCGATTTCATTYGACTGATTCTGGCAGAAACAGATATTTGAGAAAACTCTCGACTTTGCATTTGGTACTGCGTCTTCGTGGTGGTCTTCCAAATTAATCCGAACTGTGGTATCTTTGAAATTGCCTCTCCGTATAATAATATCTATTCTTAAAATCTATGTGGGTCGTGTCTGGTTATGATTTTATTGTTTGGCTTTGTGGCATTTCCTTTATCCATCGCTTTGAAATTGCCTCTCTCTATAATAATCTCTATTCTTACAATCTATGTGGGTCGCGTCTGGTTAAGAAGGAATTCGACCGTTTTCTTCTACTCTGTGATGACTTTGACACGTCAGCATAAATTTGAGTAGCTGTTATTTGTTCAAGGGAGACTTTTGCCATCTCAGCTCTAGTTCATGTATCTTGTCTGTTTTACTTAGCAAGGTGGTTATTCTCACGGGAATTAAAGTGATAGAAAGTGTGATTGACTATTCTGTGAGTGAAAAACAAAGTGAATTCGATAGTGAATTTTGGCCTTATCCTTGTAGAGTGATTGCTGCTGTTTTTTACTGATTCTTGATCAATGAAGCTTGAAGAATCTGTTTGAAAGTGGATGTACACCGATCTTGGTGGAACCTATAAACATAGAGTTATGTTCTTATCTTTCTGTATTCGATTGCTTTATTTTCTGGATTTAGTTTTTATAATCAGTATCAGAGCTTGTTGATTCCTTTTGTATTTCTCTGTTTCCGGTCTTAATTTCATCCAACTAATGAATCAGTTTGTTGATTTTGCCGAATCGTGAAGATCATCTGAATTCTGGTGATCGTTTTTCAGTATTGTTCAACCCGATCTTACAGGTATTAAACTTATTTTTCCATGATTCTTTATATCAGTTGAAATTGTTTGGTGATAAAACTGATTGTCATTTGTTGAACTAAACCGTGGTCAGAATAATTAGTAGCTTCTTTTCTTTTTGATTATCTTGTTTAGTTGGTTGATTAGGAGAATGGCTACAAAGTTTGAATTAGAATGTTTATCTGGCAAAATGGATTTTAGTTTGTGGAGAAAGATAAYGCRTTCATTGTTAGTTCATGAAWAGGTGGCTAAGGCTTTAGATAAGAATCATTATCTGGATCACTTACTGAGGAAGAAAGAACTGAAATGGATGAGATAGCATTAAGTTTGATTATCTTGTATTTAGGAGATAATGTCCTTAGGCACAAGTGGATGGTGAAGAGACTACTGCACAACTATGGACTAAACTTGAAAAGTTGGTTTTCAGTAAATCACTGCCGAATAAGATATATTTGAACGAAAGGTTCTTGGGTTATCGAATGGATAGTACGAAAAACTTAGATGAGAATCTAAATGAATTCAATAAAATATGTTTGATTTAGCTAGTACTTGGAGAAAAAACTTCAGACAAAAATCAGGCCATAATATTACTTAACTCATTACCTGAGAGTTAAAAAGAGATTTAGTCAACTATTAAGTATGGAAGGGACTCAATTAATTTAGATTTGGTTAGGGATGCTTTAAGGACCAAGGATTTTGAAATAAAAATAAAAAGAAGAAAGTTGAGGTGTTATTTTCTCGGGGTCGATTGGAAAATAAGAATTCGTCTCAAGGGAAGCACAATAGCAGATCTAGATCTAAATCAAGGGGAAAGGTTAAGAGATGTTTTCATTGTCATAAAGAGGGGGACATCAGGTGAAATTGTTCTTAAGGCTAAAAATAAACAGCAGAATTTCGAAAAGGAGGAAAGTAGTTCAGCAAATCTGCATGAAGGATATGAATCAGCTGAGGTTCTAGCTGTTTCGAATAAAAAATGTGGAGAAGAATGGATACTAGACTCTGAGTGTTCTTTTCATATGTCCTCACGGAGAATATTTTCATGATTTTAGTGAAAATGAAGGTGGGACAGTTCTGATGGGCAATGATCAAAGTTGCAACGTTAGAATAGGTTCTGTGAGAGTCTGATTGGAAGATGGTACTGTTGAGCTCCTTACATGAGTGAGATACATACCTGATCTTAAGACGAATTTGATATCTCTCGGCACCCTCGATAAAGCTGGTTACAATTATAAATCTGAAGGTGTTACAATGAAGGTTTATAAAGGGTCTCTGCTGAAAGTAAAGGGAATTCTCAAAAAATGGTTTGTATGTGCTTCAAGGAAGTACAATTGTTGATTCAGCAAACACTGTAAATGTTGCCACTATTTTAAGCTCACAACAAACCGTTCTTTAGCATAAAAGGCTAGCTTATGTTAGTGAATGAGGGTTGTTTGAACTTAATAATCAGTGGTTGTTGGGAACAAAGAAGTTAGGAGAATTGCCTTTCTGTGATCATTGTGTTCTTGGTGAGGCTACTAAGGTTCGTTTTAGGTAGAGCAAAGCATTGTACTAAAGGAATTATGGATTACATACATTCAGATTTTTGGGGACCAGCTCGTGTTCCTACCCATGGTGGATCAAGGTATTTTCTTACCATGGTTGATGACTACTCTCGATAAGGTATGGGTTCATACTTTAAAGGTGATCGGAACTGACAATGGGTTAGAATTTTTGAATGAAAAATTTAATAACATGTGTGAGAAGGCTTGAATCCAAAGGCATTTGACAGTGGCATATACTCCTCATCACAATGGTTTGGCTGAGCGTTTTAATAGAACTATTCCTGAACWWGTGAGGTGTATGCTATCGAAGGCGGATTTGTCTAAATMTTTTTGGGAGAGGCCATTAACACTGCGGTTAACAAACAGGAGTCCTTATACTGATCTTAAAATGAAAACTCCTAAGGGATTTGGACAGGGAAACCACCTGGGATTGATTACCTTAGAGTGTTTGGTTGTTCCGCATTTGCTCTTATAAAGTCGGACAAATTGGCTCCTTGAGCAAGAAAATGTCTTTTATTGGCTTACCTTAAGGGAGTAAAGGGATATAAGGTGTGACTCTTGGAACTAGGTAAAGAATGTTGTATCATAAGTAGAGATGTGACGTTTAATGAAGAGGAAATGCCATGGAAAAATAGTCAAATTTTCAATAGAGGAGAGGATCAATGTTTTTTTTTTTTTTTTTGAATAAGATACAAACTTTTCATTGATAAATGAAAATGAACAAAGTTGTTCAAAGATACAAATTCTGAAAGGAGTGAGCAAAAATTAAAAGAGGTGTAAAATAAAATAGAATCTGCATAAACAAAGAAAACCATTAAGGGGGAGCTATAAAAGTCTCCCGATTAATACACAAAGCATACTAGGAGAATAGGAGGAGAATAGATCGGAAAGAACATACCAATGTGAAGCTTTGAACTTAGGCTATTGAAAAGCAGTCCAAAGAAGAACGATGCTTGCCTTTGAAAACCCTCCGATTTTTTTTCAAACCTTAATTATGAGATTAGAGCTTTAAAACCATGAACCGATAGAAGGTTGCCTTTAGGGTGAACCTGAAAGCCATAAGAAGCTTCAAGATGCTGTGTGAAACTTCCAAGTCCCATACCTAGGAGAAAAAYGACTTCCAGCAATCATCCGCGTAAAAACACGTAAAGAAAACATGTCTTTGAGTCTCTTCATTGACATTATCCAATTTTATTCTGTTTCTTTTGAAATTGTGACTAAAAAGCAGCATGCTGCTGCGTCTAGTTCATGTAGAAGTAGTCAGGAAGTAGCTGATAGAGATGATGTCTCTGGTGTACATGGTGATGTGTCTGCTATTGATGGTCAGGAKGCTGAGAATGCAGTTCCTGACATGTTCTGGAAGAAAATGTAAATGAAATTGTTGTGTCTGAAACTGAAACTGAGATTGTCGCTATATCTTCCCTTGAACATTATCAGTTAACAAGGGACAGAGGAGGAGGGTTATTCGACCTCCCTGCTCCCTCTTGTTCTGCTAATATTGTTAATGAAGATGATACACTCATGTTCTGATGAAGTCATGTATGCTTTGAACTGTGAAGAAGGTTTAAATGATTTAGAACTAAACACTTATGAAGAGGGAGTATGCAKTGAAGACAAAGATATATGGCTTGAAGCTATGAATATAGAGCTTGCTTCATTACACAAGAATGAAACCTGGATATTTGTGGATAAACCGGTAGGGCAGAAGTTGGTCGATTGCCAATGGATTTTTAAAATCAAACCTGGAATTAAATAAGAGAAGCCTAGATATAAGGTCGGCTAGTGGTTAAAGGATATACACAATGGCAAGGAATGGACTACAACAAGATTTTCTCTCCAGTGTTAAGACATACGTCTATTCGGTTTCTTCTCGTAATCGATCTAGAGCAGATGTCATGGAAATTTGGAAGAAAGGATATTTATGAATCAGCCACCTTGTTTTGTGACAAAGGGAAAGGAGAATCTGGTATGTTTTCTTAAACGGTCATTGTATGGCTTGAAACAATCTCCTCGTTAGTGGTATAAAAGATTTAATAGTTTTATGATTGACAATGGTTTTCATAGAAGTTTTTCTGATTGCTGTGTATATGTTAAATCAGCTTCAAAGGAAGTTTTTGTTGATCTTCTATAATTGCCTCACACAAAATGTCTGAAATTAGAAAGTTTAAGGGTCTTCTCACCACGGAGTTTGAGATGAAGGATCTAGATTCTGCAAGTAAAATATTAGGCATGAAAATCATGAGGGATTGTTGTAAAATAATCAGTTTATTTTTCTCAAGATGAGTATTTGAGTAAAGTCTCAAAGTGGTTTCAGATGACTCATATATAGCATTCAAATGTTGTAAGGAGCTTAATGTATGGAATGATATGCACAAGACATGTTGTAGGGAGCCTAATGTATGGAATAATATGCACAAGACTAGATATCGCTGATGCGTTGAGTGTTGTGCGTCGTTTTATGAAGCTAGTTAAGGTTGTGACTTGATATATTCAAAAAGGTGAAGAAACAGCTGTTGTTTTAAAAGGTTTTGCTGATGCATTGAGTGTTGTGAGTCGTTTTGTGAAGCTAGTTAAGGTTGTGGCTTAATGTATTCAAAAGGTGAAGAAACAGCTGTTGTTTTGAAAGGTTTTGTTGATTCAGATTTCACTGTTGATCTTGATAAAAGGAGGTCTACCTCTGGTTATTTGTTTACTTTGTTTGGGAATAATATTAGTTTGAGGCCTGTTTTGCAACCAGTAGTAACTTTGTCAACTACAGAGGCTTAATATAAAGCTTTGACAGATTATGCGAAAGAAGCAGTTTGGCTGACTGGTTTAATTGAATATTTGTCGGGAGTTAATGTAGGACCGAGTATATACTGTGATAGCTATAGTGCTCTTGCCTTGATGATGTTAAGTATTATTATGTTTGTGATAGCTATGGTGCTCTTGCCTTTCTGATGTTAAGTATCATTATGTTTGTGATAGCTATGGTGCTCTTGCCTTGATGATGTTAAGTATCGTTATGTTAGAGAAGCAGCAGCTGCCAAACAAGTGTTGCACTTGAGAAAGTTCAATCAATGACAACCCAGCAGACATGTTCACGAAGGCAGTTCCGAGTGCAAGGCTGAAGTACTTGTGCAGCCTATGGAAGATACGCATTGGGTAAGTACGTATGTTTTAAAAGGTTCCATTCAGGTTCTTGAAGCCTTATTTGGTTGGTTAATTTTATGTTAATGTCATGAGGGTGATTTGTGATGACTTTGACACGTCAGCATAAATTTGAATAGCTGTTATTTGATAAAGGAGACTTTTGCCATTCTTCAACTCCGGCTCAATGTATCTTGTCTGTTTTGCTTAGTAAGGTGGTTATTCTCACGGGAATTAAATTGAGAGAAAGTGTGAGTGACTATTCTGTGAGTAAATTTTGAGCTTGTGAGAGTGTATCTCCTTGAAGAACCTGGTTGAAAGTGGATGTAGACTGATCTTGGTGGAACCAGTATAAACATCGAGTTTTGTTTTTATCTTTCTGTATTCGATTGCTTTCTTTTTATCTGGATTTAGTTTTTACATACTCGCATGAGTCTTTGTTGTTTGGTCTCTGTTGTAGAACATGTTTACGGATAATGCTTCATCCCATGATATACTTTTTGGGTCTTCAGTATATTATTTTAGAACAGCACTCACATTCCCAAGGCAAAGTTTCGCACACAAAGACTGTTATTTAATTAATAGGAGAGCCAAAGCTATAAGGCTTTATTTATTAAAACATTAGCAAAAAGCACAGTAGAATGTGTTGTTTGTAGTGCGTGTGCTAGGAAATTAAAGCTGAGCGCACTTAGAAGTCACATCGCTGTGGGTGGAGTTGGCACATGGATGGCAAAATTCTTGCCTGCTGTAGAATATGGCTGCCTTGTTGGCCATGTTGCTGGCTCTGTACCTCACGAGCAACCTCCTCCAAAGCATCGCACCTGCAGTGCTCCTCAACATTCCTCAACTGTCGGCAGCACTCTTCCAAGCCTTGCTCTCTCCCCCATTGGTTCTCCATAATTTCTCTTCTGCCGCCACCCTGCTGTCTCAGGAAGTTCTCGCAGTTGCGGAGCTGCTCACGGGGCCTGATGTGGCGGCACCTCTCCTGCCGCCCTTGGTTGTCTTCGTCCACCTCCACGGTGGTGACGGTGGTGCGGTAGGCGTATGCATCTGCAACCAGCAGCACAACTGCGAAGAGGGCAACAATACTTGAGAGTTTGGACATTGCTGTTTTGTTGTCAAAAACTCTTTTATTTTTTGGTTGGGGAAGTGGGGAATGGAGTGAGGGAGTTGAAGGTGGTTGGTATTTGTAGGAAGTGGGGGGTGGTGCATATAGGAAACGTGTAGGGGGTGAGCTCCACGTGAGGACAGCCATGCAAATGAAAAAAGAAGCATGTGTCGTAAACGCTAAGCAGTACAGTACAAGTGTTGGATTTTGGATACAAATGGCTGAGTGTATTGGATTCTGCGTTACTGGTAGGGTGGTGGGTACGTGGTCGTTTTGCCGCAAAGATTACTTTGTAAAGGGCAACACAAGTCGACTGTGGTGTTTCTTGGATGGTAGCTGAGTAGTATAATCAAAATGATTCTGTACTGCTTGTAAATTAATTAAACGACTAAAACTGTCATTAGCTTTTGAATTCCAGTTCTCACTTTTGTTCCATTTTTAGAAGTTAGTGTGTGGTGTTCCGTTTTGTCCGTGCTGTCTGTGTTGAGGATTTAGTGGCTTAGTGGGTGCCCTTAAGGTTGCAACTACCGTCAGTTTTTGTATAAATACCTTAACTTCCATTAAAGAAATTATCAAGTAATGAACCAAATCTCTAGGGGTGTAAACAAATGAACTGAACCGAACCGCGTTAGTCCAATTCGGTTCGGGTCGGTTATTATAATTCTCTATTCGGGTCGATTTTGACTCGACAACCAATAACCCTAAATCTTATATTCTCTCTTGCTCTCTGCTCTCTTGATAAGCCGCCGCTACCCGAAGGAATGAAGGAACGAAGAAACGGAGGAACGATGGAACGACGATTTAGGCGACACGAGACGGTAGCATGCGGGGATGACCTCCACGGCAGCAGACGACGACGATCTCCACGGCCGCAGGCTACGGCAACCTCCACGGCAGCCGGTGACAGCGACCCAAATAGCATAAAAGTGGCGGGCGGAAGAAATTAAGCAAACAGCAGTAGGCGGCACCGCCCCAACCGCAGCACGTGGTGGCGTGGTGGCGACCTCGACGATAACGTACGACTAAATCTTCTCTCTCACCAAGGAAATTTCAATTCTCTCCCCAATCTGAATAAGGAATTCTATTTTCCTCTCCATTCAATTTAATTTGATTGGAAGAAGGAAAGATTTATGGGTTGAAGATGAGAAATTCCTAGATTCAATTATAATTTCAAAATCAAAGATCTTTTAATTTTCTATGGAAACTAGAAAATTTCGTGTGTCTCTCCAATTTCAAATCTCTCCTCTCCAATAATTTCTCCAATTTTGAAGAAAATATATGGGAAATTACAAATAAATTCGCACACTCCCTCTCTAAAAATAAAAAAATAAAAAAAAAACCGAAACCCGACCCGACCTGAATGAAACCGAAAATTGTCAGGTTGATTCGGCTTTGCCCGGAAGCGACCTGACCCGACCCGATGAAATTACACTCCTACTTGAAATTTCTCAGTTTATAAATTCTTCACAGTTGCAAAAGTGACAAAGTKTTTGTTGAAACTACCTACGGCTATGTTTGGGATTGTTTTGGTTAAATAATAATTAATTTTTGTCCGTACGAATTTAGAAGTAATGACCCTAATGTCGTAATATAAAGACTTTTCCAAAATAGCCAAGATACACTAATGACCCTCATGGGATAGGCTTGGGCCAAGCTACATGCATTTTTTTGGTGTGGAATTCAAATTTCTGTGACTGATGTGGCCGTACTTATGTGAAGCAACACCAGAAAATCTTAATAGCTACAAATTTTAAACTTTTGTTAGTTAGAACCCATAGGAGACTTACCACTTAGCGTCGGTGTTCTGAGCCCATTTATAAAAAAATGTCATGTAAGAAAAGCGTCCCACCAAAATGATAAGGCATAGATGCTTAAGCTAGCAATAATGTTAGACATGTTTTATATATAATGTCACGATGTTTGCATTCGACCCGATCATTTTCAGCTAATTTGTATGGCAAGAGAGACACGATTTAATGCCCGAATTGAGAGCAAAGGTGGTGAACTCGATTATATTCAGTTTCACTGTCTAATTGTACTTCCAAATAATGGTGTTTTTTTACAAGAGCAATAAAATGACTGAAAAGTGTTGCTCTTCAATTTCAAGGGAYATATCCAAGTAAATCAACTAAAATCATCGAGAAAATGAACTTAATACTGATACCATTTAGTAGAACCGATGTCGGGCCACAAAGATCAATGTGTCAGCTCAAAACAGAGTAACCATGCACTTTCACTAGTGGATTACACCTTTTAATCAAAGTTTCTAGTCTTAATATAGGCGTGTCTAAGCCTTCGATGCCTAAATTGCTTTTGAACACTACAACAGTTACGTGAATGATTATAATGATATSAACAAAAACATAATTAATATTTAAATAGCTCGCGGACTCCAAATCGTCTTCAAAATGGCTTGAAGTGCTACTAGGTAACTAGTTCTAGCGTATAGTCCATCTTCAAGAACCCCTTCAACATCATCTTGCCCGTACATGTGTCCTTAACAAGACAAGAATCAACATGAAACTCAATGAATACAATAATGTCTTGAACAAGTTTGACACACTAACAAAGTTCTTCGCAATATCGGGAACACACAACACACTTTCCATGTTCACACTTTCCAGATTAAGTAAGCTCATATGAGACACTAAACATGATTTACCCATATGCAAAATCAGTACTTTATGACCATTTCCAACTATAACTTTTTCCTTAACTCCATATTCGGCCGTGTTGACTATGTTATTATAATCTACAATAACTCTATCCATTCATGTACCAGTTGGGGTCAATTACTGTCTTTTGGATTTACAACAAACAAATTAGTATTTTGAGTATCACAAGAAAGATCGTACACCTTGTGTATTGTCACTATTYTAGGTTAGAATTTAAGCTAGATCTATTCTCTACACACATACATGAATTTCTAGATACATTAATAGTTAAGTACACGTGAGTTAAYGTATTCAGGTACATGAACGATATGTATATATATGTATCCATATTTAATTTGTGTCTTTTATAGGTGTCTTTTGGGTATTATATAAAGGGATCATTTCCCTTGTTTGTAACTAAGAAAATTGAAGCAATTCAATCAATAAATAGACGAGAACAATATTCTTCTCTTTCTGGTCTTGAGTTCATAAGAGAACAAATTTCTTCTCTTCAAAGTTGAGATTTAGAGTGAATTTTAGTGAGGGCTTATCAACACTTTCAACAAAGTGTTATCAGAGTCAAGTTCAAAAGATGTCATCCAACATGTTGCAGCCTCAACTTCCTTGTTTTGAATGAAAGAAGTATAGATGGTGGATTAACCAAATGAAGGTTCTTTATGGATCTCAAGAGCTTCGAGAGATATTGTTGATAGATGATATTTTGATCTAGAAGATGAGGATGGTCTTTCACAACAACGAGTTAAGAGATGCGAGAAAGAAAGACAAAAAGCATTTATTTTTTTTATTTATCAAGCCGTAGATAAAATGATATATTTTAAAGTAGCTAAAAAGATTTTTTTTATCTCTATAGAAATATTTTATTTAAAATAATAAAAAAAACCACTTGAACTAACTATTTCAAATATTACTAATAATGAGATAATAACATGTTTAATTTGAATTCTAATTAATGTCTGTTTTTTCTCATCAATTATAAATTTTTATAACTCATTAAAATTAATATAATAAATAAAAAGTGGATTAAAAATAAATATTATAGAAGCAGTATAATATATTATTTTATTTATAATAATTATTATATTTTATTAATTAATTACACGAATAAATATGAYTCAAGTAAGTAAAACTAAATTTTAAAATATAAGATTATGAGTATTTTATTTTTAAAAAAGTTGATGAGTTCAAAATGCTAAAAATTAGAGAGAAGAAAAGCAATGAAATTTTTATTAAGTAAAATATTATTTGGAAACTTAACTCTTAACCAATAAAATTTTAAATGCAATRCACCAAATCGATATAAAAGTTTGAAATTTATARATGTTGAATGTGAAAAGTTTTGTTATTTCATTATTTTGAAATATTTTATTTTTACTTATATTATTAACTATAAAGATTTATTTGAAATTAAATTTCAAAAATTTTATAACTTTTTTAACTTTCTAATTTCACCTTGAATTACATATCTATTSATTTATAGTCATTTTTTTATTATGATATTTTTTATGAATTGTGATATTTTTTTAATCTTGTATCGTGAAAAAAAAAAGAATTACGTGCATTTGCACGTGGTAATACACTAGTCTTCATAAATAGCTTAATGGGATCTCTCCAATGTCACAAGCTTATATTGAAGCAATTTGATTCTAATCCTTCAGAAAAAGCTTTTCATATGTAAGYTTCTTCTAGAGGTAGATCTAATGGAAGAAGAGGTAGATCATATGTAAGCTTCCTCCTATCATATGACCTCAAAAGTTTGAGTTAAAGAGGAGATAATCAAACTTCTTCAAATATGGAAAAGAAAAAAGAAGCAGAGGTGGAGGTCGTAGAGATTTTTGTCACATACTTCAATTGTGCACTATGGACACTTTCAAGCAAGACTGTTGGTCTAAAATGACTAATTCTTATCAAGCAGAGACCAATCTAATACATGAACAACAATATAATAATCAAAGTCTTCTTTTACTCACATTTAATGTCCAAGGAAACAAGTACAGAAGATATATGGTATCTTGATAGTGGTTGTAGTAACCAGGAAGAAATGATATTTTCATAACTTTGGATTAATCTCTTCAAAATGAAGTGAAAACTGGTGACAGTAAGAAGCTAGCAGTCAAAGGAAAATGAGATATTATGGTTAATACAAAGAATAAAACAAAAAGAATYATTTATGTGTATTATGCTCTTGAACTCAAACACAATTTTTTAAGTATTTGGCAGCTTCTAYTGAGGACATGATGTTATCTACAAAGATAGCATATGCGAGATTGAACCAAGAATGSAAGTCTCATAACAAAGGTACACATGACTCACGAACAAATGTTTCCAACCAAAATATACTATGAGAAGTTCTTCTTCTTTTTGAGACTTGGTAAAAGACAAATCATGGGTTTTGGCATTATCGAYATGAGACAAAGTGTAACTTAAGAAAATTCAAATCAAACWGACATAAAATACCAAAAATAACAATTTATTTTTTTAATAAAATCTTTGAATAGAAGTTATGCCAATAGGGTAAGCTCATCATTTTTTTTCCCCTATAATTAAGGGTGTCGACGRRCACTAAATACTATGATTGACATTACGGGACTCGTCCTCGAATGACGAGGAGAGACAGTCCCAGTTACGTGTCTTACGGGACTTGAACCGGAGAGGAGATATCCCTTTTCGATCGCAAATCTACTACACCACCACCCGTCGGTAGTAGCTCATCGCTTCAAATTGTTCAAATTGTTACTCGTTGAATAACATTGAGACATCTGACATGTGAGACATGGATGTGAGCATATTACCTTCACACACCACACCCCTATCCACATTTTCCTATGAATGACCTATGAATGACCATCATAACAATTAATTCATTCTCAGCAAAATAAATTTCATATTTTCACAATCTTTTTCCATTGGTGGTTAAGAGTTCCGTTTAGTAATGTCCCTATTTCTTGTTCATGTTTCTGTCACTTTCTTGGAGAAACATACTTGTTTGRCATCCCATCTAATCGTTTACATATTTTTTTCCAAGTTCAAGACGTATGTAGTATAAATAATATATAATGTACTATAGATAATAGGATGGATACACCAACATACACCTATATACCACTTTTCTCTTAGTCGCCCCAACTCGATTCTCAAACAAAACATCAATTTTTTTATTTTTAAATTAAAAATACTTTAAAAATATATTCTTTATTTAAAGAACTAATATTTTATATTTTTATATTGTAAATTATATTTTCGTTAGTGAATTATATTCTTCGAGCTTTTTATTTATATCTAATCAATTTTTATTTTTATATCTACTCAATTTTATTTTAACTAAAATATTGGTTAAGAGATCGTGAATTTGAATCTCTACTCCACCCGCTGTTGTACTAAAAAAAATTAAAAATAAATAAAAAATGTTTTTAGATATTTTATTTTTTCTTTCTATTTTCAAAAGAAAAAAGAAATTTTTTGTTTCTATTTTTTTTTATTGAAAGAAACATGAAAACAAGAAATAGAAAACGAAAAGGAAATATATAAAATGGCTTGAGTTTGAATAAATTTAGCTAATGTCTCCATATAGGATTGAGTTTGAATAAGGGACTCTCTTTCGCGGTTAATTGGATGAAAATTATCCAACAAAATTTTGTTCATTATGTTGAACTGATCAAAAGCTCAAATCAAAAGACTAAATGGCACAAATGATTGGTTTAAATTCGTTCCAGAAGGAGAAGTGATATTTAGGTGATTGTGAAGGCATAGATCATCCGTTAGTTACTAAGCGCCCATTTGTGTTTTCTTTTTTTTATTTTTTTTTATGTTTATTTATTTTTAAAGAAGAAAAATGTATTGCACGGCTTCACTCTTTTTTTTATGTTTATTTATTTTTAATAAGAAAAAATGCATGTTTATTTATTTTTAATAAGAAAAAATGTATTGCATGGTTCCAACCTCAAAAAATTCAAGTATGATAAAACAATATTTTCATCTATATATTTTATAATAAATTGAAAATGAAAAAAAAAACTTGTTTTTTGTTGTTTCTAAAATTTCTATACAATTGTGAGAATGTTTAAAAAAATAGAAACATCAAAAAAATAGAAACAAGAAATACAAAAGTCAAGATTAGAAACGATAAACAAAAAAGGGAAACGTTATCAAAATCAAAATGTTTCAAAAAATGCAACAAGAAATACAAAGCGAAACAAAAAATGGCAATGTAATCATTATAACTCCACTTAAAGTTTTGCTATAGCATTTTGATTTCTAATTATACATAATCATTATAACTCCACTTAATAATTTTTCTGAACAAATCATTCCGAAAACCATTCTASTTTCCAAAATGTACAAGGCAAGTGATGATTATTCCTAATCTAAAGTTTTTGTCAGATTTCAAACTATATTTCAATAAACATTCATTTTGCTTTTGATTTTATRTATAGCTCTCTTAAGAGCGTAGTGCGTTAGAATTTATAATTATAACTACATAATCCAAGCATTTAGGACTTAATCTTCATATTTTAGGACTAGGATTGTTAATTAGAACTTAATCTAATATTTTTGGATGACAAGGATTGTGAGAAAGTAATCTACATATTTTAGGTAGAACTCAATCTTAGGATTCTGATTGTTTTTTACCTGTAGTACGAGATTGCACTTGCAAGTCGTTAATTTGGTAACGATTCATGCCATATGTTTTTGGGTTTTTGGCCTATTATTTTTGATCAGGAGCACTCACATTTCTAAAACGATTCAATATTTCGCACACAAAAACTGAAAAGTACTATTTAGTAGCAATGCCAAATTGCATAATATAAAGCTTTTATTTATCAAAACTCAAGATAGAAAACAAAGCACACAAGGATTTGCCATTTGTTTTCCCTTGTATTGCGTAGGCTATGAAAAGCAGAGCACACTTAGAAGTCGCATCGCTGCGGGCGGAGTTGGCACATGGATGGCAAAATTCTGGCCTTGTGCAGCATCTGAGTTCCTTCTTGGCCATGTGCCTGCCTCTGTGCCTCACGAGCAACCACCTCCAATGCATCGCACCTGCAATGTTCCTCCACGTTCCTCAGTTGTCGGCAGCACTCTTCCAAGCCTTGCTGTCTCTCCCACTGGTTCTCTTCCACTCCCTTCATCTGCAAATATCCTCCACTCTGCCTCAGGAAGTTCTCGCAGCTGTGGAGCTGCTCCCGAGGCCTGATATGCTGGCACCTCTCCTGTCGCCCTTSATTGTCTTCGTCCAGCTCCACGGTTGTGACAGTGGTTCGGTAGGCGTAGGCATCAACAATCAGCAGTGCAACTACCAAGAGAGCAACCGTAGTTGAGAGTCTGGCCATTGCTGTTGTTGTAAGAAACTCTTATTATTGTTGCAAATATGGAATGGGAAAAGGAGTGAGCGAATTGAAGGGGAGGAGAATAAGTTGTATTTATAGGAATTGGGGAGTGGTACATGTGGGAAACGTGGAGGGTTTCCAAGCTTGTGAAGGTGTATAGCCATGATCGGGTTCAGTGTTGTGGTTGAGCTTCCACGTAAAGGCAGGCATGCAAAAGAGAAGCCACAGAGTGCAGTACACTTGTTCAAGTGTGGGATTTTAGGTACAAATGGCAGTGCTGTTGGTTTATGTTACTGCTAGGGAGGTGGGTATGTGGTCGTTTTGCTTACTTTGTAGAGAGCAATACAAATACAAATGGACTGTGGTGTTTCTCGGTAGCTGATGAGTTTTTTTTTTTTTCCTTCTCTTTTTTGAGTACAAAGCTGATGAGTTGTACATGAAATTATTCTCTCTACTCATGTTAATTAAACCACGAAAATGGTCCTTACACTAGTACAAGAATTTTGAGGTATGCCGACATCACATCTCCCGATGCACATAAAAAGTGTTAGCAAGGCGACTTTTGCCAACGATTTATAAAACAATAGATGAGTTGGAAAAAAATAAGCAGGAAATTAATAAAGAGAACAACAAAGTGAAAGCAATACATAAATTGTGCGAAAGAAGTTGTATTAGTTGAATTGAGAATTGTTAAATTTATCAACCCACCAAACATACATCATCCTTAAATTTCTCTAACCAACACCACAACTCCAACTATATTCCACTTAGCCTACAAAAKCTCTTGAAATTATACATTACTTAATTAAATTCCAACTATGAAATTAACTACCAATCATATCCTAATTCCTTAAAAAAGTGGAAACACTCAGAAATAAACTAATATATATTTGTACTAATTCTTAGCACTCCTTAGTACAAACCCATATGACACTACAAGCAATACAACCTTACAGTTTTATACAGTGATAACATTTCAGAAAAAGAGGCTATAGAGGGAAAAAAGGGGAAAAATCTAGATAAATTGAAGAAAAATTGACAGAAAATGACCTAAAATAATTTTCACTTTACTCTAATGACCCACGTTTGTAAAAGTTGCCTAGAATTCATGAACCGTTAAACTCGTCCAAATTTAGCATGAATCCACCTAGACAAATTTTCTTTCCATTTCGCCCAAGTTTTACATAAATTATGGGCAAGTTTTATATACTTTATTAATTTTTCYTTATAAAAATTTAATAAATGTTAATTAATTTAAATTAGTTAAATTAAATTTAGTATAAACAATTAAATTTTAATCATTTAATTTAATTATTTATTGAATATTTATAATTAATTAATTTAATTATATATAATTCATGAGATCAGTTTTGATTAATTAATTCATAGATATAGCATCATTACAAAAAGATTTTGGAATTAATATTATGAATATATATAAATATTATTTATTTCCATAAAAGTTTTTGTACCATTCGCTTATTATAACCAAACACAACACAATAATCTTTGATTTATGTGTTGGTGTTTTGAGAATCACGTTGGCCCCAAAATGACCACACATCCACCTCCATAGCTAGCAGTAACACAAACCAATAGTGCCATTTGGATACAAAATGCAACACTTGCACTCTACTGAATCTCCACAAGGGCTTCTCATTTGCACGTGGAGCTCTCACTCCCTCCGCGTTTCCTACATGCACCACTCCCAACTTCCTACAAATACCAACCACCTTCAGTTCTCTCACTCCATTCCCTATTTGCAACCCAAAAACACAACAATGGCCAGACTCTCGAGTATTGTTTCCCTCTTGGCAGTTGCGGCACTGCTGGTTGCAGATGCCTACGCCTACCGCACCATCGTGACGACGGTGGAGGTGGAGGAAGAGAATCAAGGGCGGTGCCAGCACATCAGGGCCCGCGAGCAGCTCCGCATCTGCGAGAGCTTCCTCAGGAACCAGGGCAACCAGTGGATGGGACCGTCAGACTTGAAACAGTGCTGCGGAGAGCTGAGGAATGTGGAGGAGCAATGCAGGTGCGATGCTTTGCATGAGATTGCACGTGCGACAGAGGCAAAACAAGGAAGTCATAGGCTACAGATTGCACAGGTTTTGCCATCCTTGTGCCAAATCCGCCCACAAATGTGCCACTTCTAAGCGCGCTCTGCTTTAATTTCCTAGCATACAAAATAGCACAACCCCGTGCTTTTTGTCTTATGCTTTAATAATAAATAAAGCCTTACATACCTTTGGGTGATCTCCTACTATGCGAAACTTTACCATAGGAATGTGAGCGCTCTTCTAAAATAATATACCGAAAACCCAAAAAACAGATCATGGATGAATCATYATCGGTAATCATGTTCTACAATAGAGAACGACAACAAAGACTCATTGGAGTACAAGAAAGCAGTCTGCATACAACTATAAAGCGATTGATATAGGAAATGTTATATAGCTAGACAATAAAAATCATAACCAGATCACACGACTCTTTTGAGATTCTAAGAATTCAGATTATTACATGGAGAGGCAAGTTCAAAAGATACCATAGTTTAGAGATTAATTTTAAAGACCACCAAGAATTAAGATGCAGTACCAAATGAAAAGTTGAATCTTTTTGAATGTTATGGTGATCGGCTAAAGTCCTGCCATAATACGCATTTCTATCMTAACCAGATAGCTGCCAAACATGGAAAATAGTTGGTTCTGTATTGATAAATTTTGTCCTAACCRCCATTAAGTCTTAGACAATTRAGAGAGAAAAACAAAATGAGTTCTCCATTTTTCAATGGTAAGGAGGATAAGATCTGATGGGAACAAGTATTATCCCTGAAACATTCCATTGAAATATATGGAATGTTAAATACCTTTTTAGAAATACCTATGTCCTGACGGGTAAGTACTGGGTATTTTTCATGAGTYTCTTCTAACTTCTAATGTTTCATCTTTTAGGTCTAGGTTATTTATTACACTTAATAAAGCCTAGGTGATTAATTACACACACGTGTGTATATAATTAATTTTACCTAGCTTTTTGGTTCATGGGGATATTTAATCATGTTTGAAATAGTAGAGGCAGGAGTGGGACTCAATTTTGAAATCAACCAATTAAGTAAATTTATTTGCTTTTGAAATGAGCTGAATTTGATTAAATTTGTTTTGGATGTTTTTTTATTTTTTTGCCATGAATTATTCGTATTTTTCTATGAAAAATGAACTTATCAGTATATCATTTGTGCTATGTTAAAAAAAAAAAAAATCCTTTTGTTCATGAATTATATCTATTTTTCTATTCCATGAAAATTGATGTGATTACATTATTTGTCTAATGTTCAAAAGAAATGTGTTTTGTAATGTTATTAAATTCATTTTCATATAGTCAACCTAAACTTAGCTCAGCAATAATTGATACTTGTTTATGACCAAAAGGTCATATGAGTTAAAATCTCTCACCCCACTTCTTGTACTAAAAAAATAATCTATTATTTAAGAGAGAATAGTTTCGTGTACCTGAAAAGTGAGGTGGACCGGTAGCTCTATTTATAGGTGTTGAGCTTCCGACGATGGTTGAGGAGCAGTTACAACCATCCCGAAAATCATGAGTTGTCAGAAAGACGGTTGAACGTTTTTGTGATATAGCTCATCTTTGTTGGCGAAGGTACTCCGTGGCCGAGCTTTAAATCAAGGAAGAGGTATTTCATGGCCGAGGTGAGCCTTATTAAAGAACATTTAAACCAATTGATCTTTACAATTTTGCCTATCTGGTTTGCCTTTGTTTTTGTATCTTATCGAGACAATCCTATGATTATAAATATACATAGCACAAAAGAAATGCAGTCATGAGCTGCAACAACAGTAACAAAAAAGACTTTCCTTGTGTAGAATATTTTTCTAAAATAGAAAATAAACAACTAAGGGAAGTGGACCTAATTTAATTAGTGATTGAGATAAAATCACTGATTTTATGGCTGCTCGTAATTGGTACTTTGAAGATATTTTGACTTTAATTTATTTTCTTTAACATCATCCAATTTATTTCTTAATTTCATTGGTTTGTCCGCTGCCGTTGAGAGGTTTTTGTCAACTACTGTGTGCAATTTTGGTGAAATTTGCTTCGTATTCTTGGGCTGCCTCTTATTTAATGTTGTAATTTTGACTTGCCTTCAACACATCAGGATTGGACATGTTATCTATTTTATCATCCTCCCTCAAACTGGAAGGAGTGTAGCGGACTCCTAGCTAGTTTGTTCCTCAAGTTTCGGAAGTTTGCCTTTTGTTATTTGTTTGGTGAACACATTAGCTACGGTTTGGTAGAGGGGACAAATTTGATAGTGAGAAGTCCAAGCACCTCACGGACGAAGTGATAATTGATCTCTATATGTTTTGTATGAGCATGGAACATAGAATTTTTTGCAATGTGTGAGGCACTCATGTTCACAGAGCAACAGTAGTTTGTTGAGAATTCTAATGCCAATATCTCTTAGAACAAAAGTAATCCAAGTGAGTTAAACTSTAGCTATTGTGGTGGCTCAATATTCTACTTCAGAGCTTGAGCGTGCCGCTATTGCGGTGGCTCAATATTCTACTTCAGAGCTTGAGCGTGCCACAATTGATTGTTTCTTTGAACTCCAAGAGATGCACTTGGGGTCGAGGAAGATGCAGAATCCTAAGGTACCTCGTCTTGTTTTTTGACAACCTTTCCAATATGCATCACAAAATGCATAAAGATTCGGTGAGCAATTTTTGTAGAAGGATATGTCATACCTTTTAGTTCCATTGATGTATCATAGGATGCATTTAACAGCCTTAAGATCCTTGAGAGTTGGTTCTTGCCTGTGTTGGCATACTTTGTTCACAGCAAATTGTATGTCAGGGCGAGTGAGTGTTAAGTATTGAAGTGAGCCCACAACACTCCGATATTCTGTGGCATCCACTTTCTCATGGTCATTTGGTGATAGAGAGTTTGATATGGCTATTGGAGTACTGAATTGTGTAGCCTCAAGCATATTGGCTTTGTTGAGGATCTCTTTGGCATACTTCTCTTGTGTGATCATAAGATCAGTACTTGTCATATGTACTTCAACCTTAAGGAAGTAATGAAGCGGGCCGAGATCCTTTAGTGCGAATTCAGTGCTTAGGTGCTTGATGAGTTCCTCAATGTGTCGTGTCTGTGATCCTATAACAATGGTGTCATTCATATATACAAGCATTGAAGTTAGAGTGGATCCTGACTTATAGATAGAAAAAGAGGGATCGGATTGAGACCAAATAAATCTGGTGTGAAGGATAAATTGTGATAGTCTTTCAAACGATGCTGCTTGTTTCAAACCATATAGAGATCGGTTGAGTTTACAAACAAGGTGAGGTTTTTCTGGATGTTGGAAATCGAGAGGTTTAGACATATATACGTCTTCTTTTAGGAAGCCATGGAGGAAGGCAATTTTGACATCTAGTTGACGAAGTGTCAATGTAAAGGTAGTGGCTAAAGCTAAGATAAACCTAATAGTGGTAGGTTTATCTACGGGGCTAAAAGTTTCTTCATAATCTACGCCAGCTACTTGTGAGTAACCTTAGGTCACCAATCTAGCCTTATAGTGTTTTATGGTACCATCTTCTTTGAGGTTAGTCTTAAATATCCTTTTGGAGCCAACAATATGTTGGGATTGGTGGAGCTAATGTCGGAACGAGCTAGGGACGAGTCGGGACAAAGCATAGATGAAAACAGGTGAAGCAGAGCGTTGCAGGCCAGATGAGCCAAGGAGGCAGCGCCGATGCACTGGAGGTCGGCACTGTGACGTTGTCCCATTTGGGCAGGCGTGGAATTTTTTCATCCGTAGCGCTATGGCGCTATGGACTGCACCATGACACTGTATCTATGTTTATAAATTTTGCAGTTTCAGGAATTTTAAGTTTTGTGCCATGAGGTTTGATTTTTCAGCCAGAGCAGTTAGTGGCAGATTTGAGGCGGCGAATCCGGGTATTGGCAGCAGCATTGGGATAGATGTCGTATTTAAGCTAATWAGATATTGATTCCTGTGAGTTTTTCATTCCTGTACCTAAGTATAGTGTGTTATAATACTTAGAAGCTAGRAGACTTTTATTGGGACCTCTAGAGGGTGAATATCGGGGTGAGATATTTGAGTGCTTTGTAATCCAATCTCATATTATAGTGGAACCGCATATGAGCGGAAGACTAAACGTAGCCCATAAACTATTAGGGTGAACCAGTACAAATCTGTTGTGTTATTKTTTTCCATATATTTATATTTGTTTTATGATTGACTTAGATAACTGGATAGAAATGTGGAAGGAGAAATTATTTAAAGCACCTAATTTCCTAACATCTAGTATCAGAGTTGTAAGGTTGCAGTATCATGGCATCCAGTCAGAAGTCACATCACTACTTCGAGGGGGTGTTGAGATTTACTGGGAGAATTTCAGGTTTTGGAAGATGCAGATTACAGACTTTCTTACATACAAAAAGATTCATAAGACCTTGAAAGAAAAACAAYTATCTACTAGGATGTCAGATAAAGAGTGGACAAAGATGGATGAACAAGTGGTAGCAATCATCAAGTTGTATTTGACTATGAAKGTAGCGAGTCCCGTGGTGAATCAGAAAACAACAATGGAACTAATAAAGGCTTTTACTCACAGGTATGAAAAACTTTCTGCCAACAACAAGGTGTATCTCATTACGAGATACTTCAACATCCAAATGGAGTTGGATACCTCAGTGAACTCCCACATAAATGAGGTTACTGATCTGATGAACAAGTTGRAATCGATGGAGATTACGTTCTTAGAGGAGGTAAAGGCTATAAAACTGATGTCCTCTTTGCCTAACAGTTGGGAGACGATGAAGATGGCGGTGTTGAATTTGTCGAGCGATAAGAGTTTGAAATTTTCAGATATCTGTGACGCTACAATTGTTCAGGAGGTTCGTAGAAAGGTGAGTGAGAAAAATTCTGTATCCACTCCTGGAAGGGAGAACAGTGTGGAATCAGCATTAATAGCTCAGAGTAGAGGCAAAGGGAGGATGAGTTACAAGGGAAAGCARTAGTATAACAGAGGAGTAGGAGCAGTAGTGGAGATGTGGAGTGTTTTTACTACCACGAGAAAGGACAMATTAAGAGGTTGTGTAAGAAGCTTAAAGAAGATCAACAAAAGGGTGATTTTGCTAATGTGACAGTGTAGTAGAAGAACTTCTAGCATATGAGAGAGTGACTCAGTAGATCGACCATCAGAGTGGGTTGTGGACATTGCAGCATCAACACATGTATYGTCAGACAAAAAGTGGTTCTCATCTTTCACTAATCAGCATGGGGAGGTAAGGATGAGGAATGAGAGTGTCTCAAAGGTTAGATAAATTGGAGATGTTTGTTTGAAGATCGATGGGGGAAAAAATTTGGGGTTGCGAGCTGTCAAGTACATTCCAAGTATCATAAAGAATTTGCTGAAAAACTGAATGAAAATGGTTTCACGAGTGAGTTTGCAGAGGGTAGCTGGAAACTTCTGAGGGTATCCGAGGTGGTGGCAGTGGGCCACAAAGAAGTTTTTGTGTATGTGTCTAGATTTGAGGTTGTTAGGGGATCTAAGAGGCAGAGGATGCACAAGGCTGCAGATGGTTTATGGTGAGATTTGAAAGAATCAACAGTAATGACAACTAGGACAGAAGATAGAATTCTGTCATTATCAGTTCAAGTACAACAGTTGGGAAGTAAAGGAAAGAGAAAGGGGAACTGCTCGGTGAGGTGTTCACGAGGTTGTCAGTTTCAAGCCCCAATTGTTAAACGGTTTGGCGAGCTGATGAGGTCCCGTTYGTGAAGGAGTGTATCAAGGAAAAACACTATAGTTGGTTCTGAAGTCAAGGGCAATGTCTCTAGAGTGGCAACAGATTTAAGTGGGAGTGTCAACTCATCAGAGGGGGAGTCTTCCTTCGAAGGTCGTTGGGCTCGATCGAGAAAGAAGGCATCAATGACCACTTAGATCGAGTGGGTGCACATGGCTATGTCTCTGATGTCTAGGGGACAAAACCACGTTGGATTGCTCAGTCTCGGGGTAATCATAGAGTAGAGTCTTGGTCGATGCCAATAAGATTTTGATTARTTAGAAACTGTTAGTGTAGTCAAAACTGAGTCATGAGGGACACTATTGGTGYAGTGGGAGGCAAGGTCATCGTTTTGTCTCCAAGTGAGAAATCGTTGGMATTGGTGGAGCCAAATAAACTTTGGAACGAGCTAGGGACGAGTCGGGATCGATTTGGGATGCATCGAAACAAAGTAGGTATAAAACAGGTGAAGCGAAGAGCTGCAGCCTAGAGGGACCGAGGAGGCAGCGCCACGACGCTGTTGCAAGGCATCGCGGTGCTGCGATTTGAGCATGCATGGACTTTTCCCGTCCGTAGTGCCATGGTGTTGTATCGATGTTTATTAAATTCTACAGTTTCAGGAATTTTAGGTGTTGAGTCGTGGGGTTTGATTTTTCAACCGCTTTTCAGAGTAGTTCGTGGTAGATTTGAGATCAAGATCATCGTATTCCGAGTAATTATTTCTTGATTATTGTGAGTTTTTCATTCTTATATCTAAGTATAGTGTGTTGTAATACTTAGAAGCTAGGAGGTTTTTGTTGGGACCTCTAAAAGGTGAATATCARGGTGAGATATTTGAGTGCTTTGTAATCCAATCTCATATTATAGTGGAACTTGCATTTTAGCAGAAGACTGGGCATAGTCCATAAACTGTTGGGATGAACCAGTATAAACATGTCATGTTGTTTATTGATTTCCCAATATTTTTCTTTGTTTTGTGATTGGCTTAGATAACTGGATAGAACTGTAGAAGAGGAAATTATTTAGAGCGTCTAATTTCTTAACACAAAATTAGTGGAAGAGAGAGGAATGACAAGATCCCAAGTGTTGTTAGCTTAAGAGCTTTCATTTCTTCCATCGTTGCAACTCTCCAATGTGGACTTTTTCGCAACACGATAACTCTTTGGTTCATCATTAGGGGAGGTTATTAGAGCTTGTGAAAAAGAGGTAGGTTGATCTTTATCCTCCTCTTGACAAATAGTGGGATTAATTTGAGAGATTCTGTAGTTTTCTCCTTGTGATCATGGGGTGAATGTTGGTTGTTTGAAGATTATTATGTATTTTTCTCCTTGTGATCATGGGTTGAATGTTGGTTGTTTGAAGATTACCATTTTCTGAGRCAGTATCTAAAAGAGTAATTACACCTTGAGGGAGTGTTGGTGCAACATTTCTAGTACATGTAGATGAAAACGACAAGCCAATGAATAGTGGGTCACTTATGTCAAGTAATTGAGATACGTGAATGAGATTCGACTGTTGCAAATTTTGGCATGCCTTATTAGTATCTTGATGTGCAGGAGAGGTTGCACTCTGATCATTGTGCTGAGAGGTAGAATTAGTGTTGAGTTCATTGTTATTCTTACTTTGCTAAGGATTGAGATGATKTGTAAGAGATCATTTATCTATTTGAGAGGCAGCCCTCATTTCGTTGATATTCTCCACTATAGTGGAAACACTTAGATGAGGTTGATCTTATTGAATAACATTCCTCTCTGCATCAATATTTTCTATTGCGATGATAGTGTCATGGTGAGGTGATCACTTTGTGCAACAATTCTCTCTTCATTTATATCATCTTCAGCTGTGACATAATCACAATGAATTCTTGATTATTTTTGGCAACAATACTCCATGCAATGGTGCTTTCTACTTGATTTTCTAAAAAATAGATTCTTGTTGGGGAGTGGTGGCAGCATGAGACTATCCTTTTTCTAGACTTGTAATTGAAATCAGTCACAACAAGAGTATTTTCTATTTTTTGACAGTGTAGAGTTAGCTTCTTTGTCAAATGGAAACTGGTTTTCATCAAATACTACATGTCTAGATATGTGTAAATTCGATTTGTGGTGGGATCTAAACACCTATACCCTTTATGAATAAGACTATAGCCAATATAGACACATGGAAAGAACTTATCTTTTCCATACTTTCTAAGGTAATGAAAACACTTACATCCAAATATTTTTATCCCACTACAGTCAGGTTCCTTAGTAAACAATTTAGCAAAAGGAGATTGCATATTTAAGACTTTGGCAGGCATGCGATTAATAAGAAAAACAACATTTAAACAACATTTAAGAAGGCATTAACCCAAAATCTTAAAGCTAA